TCGCTCTTTAGTCCCTCATCAAGATGGCAACGAATAAAGATCATAGCCTTCGCCAGATCTTGAGAAGATGAGTTGTTCTCTTCTCGGATGGTATCTCCAAGATTCCTTGCTTCCAGATGGATCTTGAGTACCCAAGTAAGGTAATTCTTCCCAGTAATGTCCAGGGCAGCAAAATCAAGCTTCGCCAAGTTCGCCATTTTCTTTTCTGAAAGAAAATGAGATGTGTAAGAACTTGCAATAATATGTATTATTGGAGGAATATAGTGTTAGAACTTTTGGTTCTTACAAACTTTTTTCATTTTGATCTTCAGGCTAAAATGATAAGTACTCGAAACTTCAGGCTAGAGATTTTCAAGATGAATGAAGAGGGCGATTGTACCGCACCATTCTCATTGAAATAATATAATATAAGATGGGCGATTATTCTGCACCACTCTAGTAGCAGGAAAATTTTAAATACGCATAGCAAGGTGGGCGATTATATCGCACCACCTAAAATTGCAATGAAATTAAACAGCAAGCAAATTTAAATATGCAGGGTAGGGTGGGCGACTATACCCCACCACCTAAAATTGCAGTAAAATTAGATTTGCAATTCAAGATAGGCGATGATACCGCACCATCTTAGATCGTAGTAAGATTAAATTTGCAGTTCAAGATGGGCGATTATACCGCACCATCTTGGATTGCAGTAAAATCAACATAAATAAATAATGGGTTAGTAATCAAGATCTACACCAAACAAGAAATCAAAGATGTATGTAACTGTTAGGTTGAGAACTAAAAGCAGGCATGGAGTAAACAGTTCATCGCGAGGGTATATCGTGCAGTTGAGGCAGAGGAAGAAGATGAAGAATAAAATCCTTAGAGGAAACATTTTTTCCTTTCTTTCATTCGGCGAAGAGAAATGAGAAAATGGTTAGGTTTTAGGGACTCGTGCTGATAACGTGTTATAAATATGTAAAAGTTAGAGAGATAACCTTTATTGGTGACACGAACGAAGCATGAGTAATATATCAAACTGAAGCTATAGCACAAGTGGATGAAAAATAAAAGAGGGAGGAATAGCTACTGAAGTTATTAATCTTTCCTTTCTTCTCAGTATATCACACTGTCCTTTAACAGCAGTCGAAGCGCTCTATTTATAGAGCAACTCTGTATTATTACAGTTTGAAATTTACAATACATCTTTTGAAAAATGATCTCCTTCATTTCCAAAGTCCACATCTCAACACTGCCAATATTGAAAATCCAATCTGTGTGTTTTCAATATCATTGTGGGCATTCACTAACCCACCAGCATTTTCAACAATATATGCATAGATACATATATGTATACATGTGTGAAAAGTTGTCATTCACAAGATTTTTAATCGTTTATCGATATCTATCAATCAATTGTTCACAACCATTTATGCACGTCTAGCTAATAATACATGTCTGAATGTAATTTTGAATAACCCTAATGAGAGAGGTATTAAAGGCTTTCTTACTAAGGCAATTTCGTGACGACAAATATTTTACGCTGATACCAAATGATATTTTTTGATATACAACTTGTTCTTGCCGGTGCAACTTTATTTTCAATGTGGGATATTGGAATCCTATAACACATACGTCTCATAGTAACAAAATGTACAAAATCTTTAGAAATGGATCTCATATGCATTAGTGAACAATTAACATTTTCTTGGCAAAAACGAAATTAAAGTAAGCAGTACCATTTATGTGCCAATTAAGATTAACAATTTTAACAATTTGGATTAGTCCAATGGCTTGTCACACAACTAAAAGTTCTTCCCTTTTGAGAATTTAATTAATTTCTTTATGGGGTGTCACAGGATTGGACAAAGTAGCTAATAATTCAACAGAATTGGCAACAAAATTTTACCACAAAGGGTGTGCTAATAGGAAAAGGGTTAAAAAAAGGGTAAATTAAAACAAAATTGTCGTTCAATACTATGGTCTGTTGATATTCTTCTTCACATGTAAATAAGAGGTCTTAGGTTCGAATCTCATGGATGGCAAATTTGATACCAAATTAGATTGTTCATTATGTGATTTAATTGAACTCTTCCTCATCTTAGTGTAAAATATATCTCATACTAAAAAAAAATATTAAAACAAAATTATACAAAGTGGGCACATGATGCTTTAAAAAGGTGGCCCACGCCCATCCAATGGTCTAATATTCCAAGAAGTGGTGGTGGAAGTGGTGGTTAGGGTTTGCCATTCTGGGAAAGTTTTGATAGCTGTTTGTGTTGCTCTTCAATTCACATTTCCAAGTTTGTGCTATGGCCATTGCCACTCCATCAACTGAACTTTCAAGCCCTATCACCAATTGTCCCGTCTCTGTTTGCTTCTAATGAAGAGGTAATAAAAAGTACACAGTGAATGGGACTCCCTTGGAATTCAATTTTGTCTCTTTTTTCCAAAAACAAATTTCACTTAGGTTCTTTTTGTCGAAACGTTCACTTGATCAGCTCGTGACCTAAATAAATAGACGAGTTCTTAACTTTTTAATCTCAGCGTTGGACATCAATTTAAAATGTGGGTGACCATGAATGTTGAATCACCTAGTGGTCATAATTTCTTAAGTACTTTTGGGTCGATAGACCACCATCTTTGTTAGTAAGAATTCTGAACAAGGATGGGTTACCATGTTCTCCATCTTAAGCTAAGGGTGTTGTGAGAGAAGGGTTATCGTCTATGTCAACAGTGGCAGCGTCTACTTGTTTTCCCTTCTTTCATGTTTTCAGTGTTGATGAATGTAAACTTTCACCGGCTTTCTTTGCACCCAGTTTTCTGGTAATGAAATTTCCAATTCCTTCTCCCAAAAAAAAAAAAAAAAAACTAAGAGAACGTGACTCTTTTTTCTAATATATGTGATGGACAATGGACATATATATAAAGGGTGGTTTTAGAGAGTGATAGTAATAAGCAATGTTGTGTGGCACTATCTTTATCTTTGGTAGGTTGAAATGTAAAGAAAGCTTTAATTATGATGCGGTGATGGCAGCTGAAATTGGTACCTATTTGATATTTATGATTTTAGAATATGATGGTTTGTCCTGAAAATTTGTGGAAGATGAATAAGTAAAAATAGTGTGTCATTGTCATGGTATTTACCCTCACACACGTAACACAACCTTTTTCCTTCACTCCGTCAAGAAAGTCAATTCAAGCCTGAAATATGTTTTCAATGGCCTACATGCATTATTGGTATTTCCTTCTCTCATGCACCTCTTTTCATTTACATTTTTACTTTTATTTTCTTTTTCATTTTTTTTTTTGTCAAACGGTGTAAGAGCCCAACTCATTTCCACTACAATGATAAAGGGTCACTTGCATTTTCTTTTCCATATATCAATACAACCATATATGTGACGTTATATGTGGGAATTGGATAAAGATATAAACATATTACAAGCGCTATATCTAGTTACCAGAGGAGATTTTTAAGCCAAGGTGACACACAAAAATATGCCCTGATTCTATATAAGAAAAATTATTTGTTTTCACACGTAAAATTTCGATAAAATTACACTTATAAAAACACTTTAAGCTTAATAAATTAGAAACACAGAAAACCAATTTATTTAGTATTAAGAGAAAGGAACAAAAAAAACCTTAGCTTACAAATAGATAGATGATGGGTCTTGTTTCCCTTCTATCTAAAATTATGACATGCTTTTATAAAAATCTTGAGGTGTTTTTTCTTATTTACTAACCTTGTCAATATACGATTTGAAAAATAATCATATTTTCAAGTCTATAATTGATATGTATAATATCTTTGTTCTTCCTCAAACCCTAACGCTGTCTCTTACACTTAGCAGCAGCCATGCTTCCCAATGGAACCTCTCATTGTTCACATTTTTTTTGTTTGAACAAATAATATTATCTACACTAAGAAGAGAGGGTAGGCTTAGCCTCACAATAGGCTACAAATAATGTGGTTCAAATTTTCTTTTGACGAGAATCGAACCTAAAACCAATCACTTACAAGTAAAGAGGAATACCACTAAATCATAGTACTAATAAAATTTCTTTCGTAATTTTTTTGAAATTCATAAGCCGGGTAAATTTTGCATCAAAATCGTTCTCCAGTCCTACCACAAATTGATTTTGTGACGCATGGCTTAATAGCTGCTGCCCAGGCGGAAGTTAAAGAGACAACAAAAGGGTTGAGTGTAGATAGGGTGTCGAAGACCAAATTTCTAATTTATTGTTTTATTAATTATTTGTACTTTCATGAGGGTATATGTGGTAAACAAAAGTATATATTTTCTTAGCACTAACTATTTAGTACATTAAGTGTCAAACCCGAAACCTTATTGTTAATAGTAAGCAGTGAGAACCGTCGTTTCTGATTAAAGTTGATGATGATTTTAATCAAATTTTTAAAATTTACACCCTTATGAAAACATATATGAATGTACCACCCTAATAATTTTTGTACCCCTATTTTAATGTCCTTCAAACTTGTAATTGAATACACCACCTAAATACGATTGAGGGGTCATATATTAGCCTAACAAGTAACTTGATAAATCACATAAATCTGCAATCCCTTGTCTTCAAATCTCATCACTTCAAGAACTTCGAAGTACATAGTCCAAACACTTTTCCCATATTAGAAGAAGTCTAATATTCCAATCTCTATCTTTCATTTGACTCAAACAAATTTTTTAAAGTCATTCAGTACTACAGTCTAGTGATATTTCTTTTCATTTATAAGTAGGAGGCTTTAAGTTCAACATTAAAGATGAGTTTGAACCATATTATTGCCAGCATATTGTGAGGCTAAGTCAACCCCCTCCTCCTTAGTGTAGATAATATCGTTTATTAAAAAAAAAAATTTATAAAGAAAGAGAAAAATTTATCAATCGTAGGCCCATAATGGATCACTGTCGTTGGACCTTCTTTAAAGCCCAGGTTCGGAGTCCACAACCTTCGACAGCCCACAAACAGAGACAAATTTAACAAAGAAGACAGACTCCAAACAAAAAAAACAGCAGCAGAGAAGAAAAAGCTCTGAGAAAAAGAAGAATCGAGAGAGTGGAGGAGATGGCTGAAGGTCCAAGGAGAGCATTGCCTCCACCGGGAAGAGGCCCTCGATTCGGCCCCGTTGATCGCGAAAAGGTCCCCTCCCACTCTCTTTTCATCTCCGGGGGTTTCAATTTTGTTTTTGCTGATTTATTTTTTTTGTTATTTTGATGGGTTTTTCTTGTTGGTGCTCATTGAATTCGCAGACTTGTCCCTTATTGCTTCGAGTATTCACGAAGGTATGTAATCCATTATCATATATGAACTGGGTTTGTGTTGATTTTCCCATTAAAGTTTAAACTTTTTGTGTTTAAAGGGATGAAAACCGAGAATTTTGATTTGATAAGTGTGAAAGGTGATATATATTTCTGTAGTTCTACCCTCGAGCGAGACCGAAAAAGCAGTTAAGTTCAATAACTTTGTAGCTCTAGCACTCCTATTTAGAGTTTAGATCTCTGTTTCTAGAAAATTTAAGTTTTATTTGTGATGGGTGCTTAGGATCCTGTTTATTAATCAGAAGGGGAGTGTCCTCCATGTCCTTCCATATGCAGAATGTCGGGTATCATGTTATTATGTGGTATGCTTCTCTTGGTTTTATGTGCAACTACAAAAAGAAAGATTTCTTCACGAAGTTGTGTCTCATCTTATGTGTTAGTGTACTAGCATTTTTGTTGCATGATTTTGTGGAGTTCCCATGAGTTCTTACATTATAGTTGGATCTTTGTCGGTTAAATAGGGTTGTGAATATTCTATGTTGTTCGTGTTTATTCCACTTCGAGCACCATTCTCTTGTTTGTACATGCATACCATACATATCATGTATGTCATAACTTTTCCAATTCTCAACAGCCTTTATCAAGGCATTGTCTTTTTGACGCTACACAAGATAGAGATGGGAACAAATTTTTATAACCTGAAACTGAAAGAAACAATTATGTGAAAGCAGCTTATCATTGTTTTCAATAGAAAAAAAACGTGTAGCTTGGATTACTACAGTACATAGGGTGGATTCTTTGTTAGGTGTTATCCTGGCTTGAGGACCGTCTCTGGTTATTGAAAATCATGTTTTCGGTTGTTTTCTGGACAGAAAATGTCATACAACGGAGTTCTCATTTTGATCACTTTTCTTATTGAATGTTTCTGTAGACTGGAAGTCATCATACCAATGCAGATTTTGCAGTGAGAGGAAAGGAGCCCAAGGATGAAGTTCAAATTTATACATGGAAGGATGCTACTCTCCGTGAGTTAACCGATCTGGTTGGAACTCTCCCTCTCTCTCTCTCTGTCTCTGTGTGTGTGTGTGTGTGTGTGTGTCTCTCTCTCTCTCTCTCTCTTGTGTGTATGTCATTGCAGATGTACATGCTTTGCATGTCTTTTTTACACATGCATCATGTTTTTGCACATTATAGTTGCATGTACGAGGATGTTTTTGACAATATCATTCATGGAAGCTCTTCTTTATTTTCACAATTTTGGTGGTAGTAAATTAGTAATTGGCTGTGCTGCTTTTCAGGTCAAAGAGGTTGCTCCTGCAGCTAGAAGGAGGAATGCAAGACTTTCTTTTGCTTTCGTATATCCTGATAAACATGGCCATTTCGTAGTCAGAGAGGTTTGTTTCTCTCTTTCTCTCTCTACATACATACATATATTCATATATATAGAGAGAATTAATGCTTATCAGTTATATGTCCTTCACTTACTATCAAAAAAAGGCTATCCGTCCTCAAATGAGGGCCTATACGAATGGTTGAGATGTCTAACCCACTATGTACCTGAGTCATCTCTGTCAATTTGATGGAGTAACAAGTATTGTTTGGTCACCATGAGAGAGGGATTTTTTGTTTGTTTTAGAACTATGGGGCGGGATACTAGGGCCACTTAAAACTTCCTCAAATTCCTTGTTGCTTCAGAATCTTCAGCACCTAGGATAGCATTATATGATTCGTTTTTGGGAGCCATCTACTAGATTATGACATTTTTCTACAAAGAGTGATAAATTTTGTTTCTGTTCCTTTTTTATTTGCTAATCAATTAAGGACCGTGATGAAAGAGGCCTAAACATAGGAGAAACCCTTGAAATACCTCGGAGACTGACGTGTCTAGATATAGATTAGTGAAGTTAACTTGGAAACAGTTTTAATGTTATAACTCAGTCAGCCATGCCCACCACTTGAGAGTTTGGTTGGCCTTTTGAGGCTCTAATAACATGTGGTTAACTTGGTATTTTCAATTTTGATTAGTTTAATATGTCTCGTGCAACTCTAAGGGCACAAACGTATTATATATTTTTAATCATATAAGTAATGCTAGATTGGATTCATTCCCAAACTTCCTGTGTGTATGCACGGAAGAGTTATGTCTTCTATCCTGACTCTCTTCGGAATCTTGTCCAAGTCATTTTTTTGACTTGACGTATCTTCTCTGTAAATTCTGCATGGATTTTAAATTCTCTTTGATCTTGGTCTGGCTTGTTTTCCAGTATTCTTTTGGTTCTCTTTGATGAATCAATTCTTTTGTCAGATAAAGATCATCAAGAAAAATAATACTAACTTGGTGGGGTTTGAAATTGTGAGTTTTCATTTTGATTAGTTCAGTAAGATGCTTTCAGAGATTTAAAATATGGGTTTAGGCGCAAGGACCAAGTTCCTTATGATATGCCAATCTGAATTCAAACCTTACAGCAGGTTTTGTTGGTTGATACCTTGCATCTAAGATCTAGTCAACATAACTAGTCTTTACAGTAAATGTAGTTGCACGTATCTCTGTGCGCTGATGAGCAAATTAGCTGCATTCTTACTTCTTATTGTGGATTCTCCATTGCTCTGTGAAGGTGGGGAAGACATTGTCTAATGGAAATGGAAAATTAGACGATGGCAAAGTTTTGGCTGAACTTGGCTTTCAGGTAACGAAATGCCCCTTTTTGTGCCTTATATTTCTGATGACGTCTCCCATTTGTGACATATGTTATTTGATATGCAGATTGGAGATTACTTGGATGTGGCGATTATGTAGAGAAGCCTAGGCAAGCACGCTCTCGTAGGACAGGAGTCTAACCATGGATATCATCGAAGCCAAGGCAACCGAGCTCTTAACGCCATGGTCTCGCTACCGAGAGGCCATGAAGATTCCATGGTAGCAAGTATTTGATTCGATATGTATTTCTTTGGAAATTCATCCGCTTAGATTTTATGTAAGAACTTTTTTGTTTAATGTAAATGGATATGAGATGAGGAAGAAGATTTTAACACTAGAGTGGAGTGGAATGGAGGCCTGCACTGCATTGTGCTATGACCATAACTGCGTTGATTTTAAATTCGTAGCTATGTTTTTTTTATACTAGTTAACTAGGGAGGGGTTTTGAATTTGAGAGTTTTTTCAATATTGAGACGTGGAGTAGGTGGATGTAAGAAGTCATTTATCTTTTAATGACGGTGACGTTATTTCATCGGAAGATACAAACATCTGTAGATTGTCTCTTCCGATAAAATAAAAATCTAAAGATTGTCTCCAGAAATTATTTAGGCATCTAGTCGTTCATCTTTTAATGACGGTTTTTTTGTGAGAAGATACAAACATCTAAAGATTGTCTCTTCTGATAAAATAAAGTTCTAAAGATTGTCTCCAGAAATTATTTAGGCATCTGGATGAATGAAAAAATTGACGGCTGTTCATGTGGTTTTGTTACCATAGTTATCTACAGATATTTGTAGATAATGAATAGTTTAGTTACAATTTTTAGATGGTAAAATGATGTCACGTCATTATTAATGGAGCTTGAGCCAAGTATAATTTCTTTTATCTTGGATCTGCCGGACCAAACATATTCATCTGACCAACACACGCAATAAAATTCCACAAACGTTGGATTCTAGAAGGGAAAATGATTATCACATATCTTTCTTAATTCTACATATTTAATATTGTCTGCTGTTTGGTTTGATTTGATTCCAACTAGATGATAAAAAATGAAGAAAGTTGTGTATATCATTTCCAAGTTGCAAAAATGGGAGGAGATTCCGAGTTGCTTACTGGTGCTTTTAATGGAAGCATTTTGCTTCCCTGGAAGTTGAAGATCTTGGTGGCTAACATTCAGAAATCGGCTCGTCGATTTTTTAGACTTTTTCGCCGTCTTTCATGAAACAAACTTTGTCGTGGATTTTTCTTCCAAAATATATAAGTTGTACAAGGAAATAACCCTTCAGATCCTAATATTCGTACTTTTTTTTATGAATCTTGTAAACACGAAAATTCTGTAACGAATGAAACGAGAACATGTGTACAAAGTAGACTTGTATTGATTTGAATAGGTTACAATCTCTGTTTACAACTTTTCCTCTTATTCAATCTTCAAATTTGATGTAGATGGTTGATTGTTGATCCAAGGGTCACGATGACTTGATCTCGGACAAATGATTGAACGATTGCTTCAAGTTTTGAGCTTGAAAACAACACGTAGACGGTCTTTTCTTTAAAGATGCGGCAAAGATGATGTTGATGTAGGATTTTGTTGATTCAAGGGTCTTGGCGACTTGATCTTGAATCGAACGTCGTTACAAGTTTACGAGCTTACAACAAAGTCTTGAAGGAATCGACATGAATGTTTGTTGATTCTTCAAGAGGAGTGCTTCAGCTTTGGTCGAGAGAAAGCTTCGACTTTGATTGAATGTTCTTCGAAAAGAGTTTTGGCAACGTATTAGTCTTCAAAGGTTTAGCAGAGGTTCTTCTGAATGCAAGAATTTCGACCCTTATGCTTGTGGGAAGACCTTGTATTTATAGACTTCTCAAGGCTTGCCTTTGGGTGGATTTGGCTTTCATTTATGTCCTAATTCATGAGGCCTTGTTGCCTATTGTGTGAGCAATCTTCAATCTTGCTTTTTTTTTTTTATGAAGATGCCTTAACTTTCTTTCCGGTTTTGAGAGCATTTTGAACCCATGCCAAATTTAAGAGGGATTCTCCCTTGTTTGCCAAGTTTTTTGGAAGATTTTATATTTCCTTTGCTTGATTTGTGTCACATGTCATTGATGACTTGTCCATTTGTGATGAATCATATGTCATGTGGAGCTTTGTGATACATCATTTGTATGCAACGAAATTTACATGTCTACGAATGCCCCCACTTTAAGGCGCATTGTCGGCATGTGCTTGTCACATGTAGGAAACGTGTATTGAAGTCCTACAATGTGAATGTTCTAACTCAAGGGTCGTTGAGACTTGATCTTGAATTAGCTTGCTTCTTCAAGGGCTGTAGAGGCTTGATTTTAAACGAAACATTTCTTCAAGGGTCGTTAAGGCGTATTTCTTGAATTGAGATGATGAATTTCGTCAAGAGTCATTGAGGCGTATTTCTTGGATGAAACATTTCTTCAAGGGCCGTAGAGACTTGATCTTGAATTGAGATGATGAATTTCGTCAAGGGTCGTTGATGCATATTTCTTGGACGAAACATTTCTTCAATGGACATTGGGGCTTGATCTTAAATGAAATCAATTTTTTCTTCAAGGGCTGTAGAGGCTTGATCTTGAGTGAAATGAAAGTGGTTTATTCAAGGGTCGTAGAGGCTTGATCTTGAAAAAATTTTGAAAATGGATAAATCGGCACATACTTATTGTGCGTATTTGATTTTCCATAATATTTAACAAGATACATTTGGTGCATTTTGAATTTTTCCTTGTGGGTGTAGGAAAAGTGTTTTCCTTCCTTCGATAGGAATCCCCTTCAATTTTGGTAACGAGGGTGACTTCCTTCAAAGTGTTGGAAAACTTCGGTGATTTCCTTCAAGGTTTTGGAAGGATTTAATGCTTGTCCTTAGGTAAGTAGGATGTGCATTTTATCTTTCCTTCTTTCTTCCCCATGGTAAGGAGGAATTTTTTTTGTTTCCTCTTTTCTTTTTCCCGTGGCAAGGAAGGAGATATTTTGATTTCCATGGCAAGGACAATTTTCTTTCCTTTTATTTTTTTAATTTCCCACTTTTTTATGATTTCCTATAAGGAGGGATTTTTTTTTGTTTTTGTTTTTTGTTTTGGGAAACATGTCATCTGAATTGCACGCCCAATTTGAGGTTGATTTCTCTTCGAGCAAATTCTGTAAAAATATGAGAAACGTAGCTTTATTTCTTATCTTTTCAGGCATATATTGCATGCCACTAAGCAAAATCAGGAAACCCTTCAACTTTGCATTTTCCTATAGCTACACAATCCTGACGGGAAAACAACTTCTGTGAGAACAACTTTGAAAACTGGAACGTTTGGCTTTAGGGAAAATTATGAAATTTGGATACAATGATCCTCAGCCACTTAGCTTCCTTCTCCAATTGGTCTTGCATCAAAACTCCTTCGGAAAGTTGAATTATCACCAAAAACATCTTGCTTGCGTAGATTGGCAGAAACTTGCCATTTTTTGCTTGGAATTTGCTTCCTTCTTTTGGTTGGAATGTGCTTCCTTGTTTTATTTTTCTTTTGCTATTTGGGTATCTATTTTCCTTCTAGCATGAGGAAGCAATTGACCCTTATTTATAGGACCAGTAGGTGTGTTTTTTTATTTCACACACACAATTCCTTGATGTGGGCTTGCTTGGAGCTTGTTGCAGTGCGTCATTGTTTACCACATGGTGTTGTGCAAAAGACTGCAGCGTGTTTATGTTGTGTAATGTTTTTTGGTCACAATATTCCCTTGGTAATGACGTTGTCTTGCGCATTTGTTGTTGCTGTTGCCGTGTGCATTGTTGCTGCTCTTTATCATACCCCTTGTTGCTGTTTATGTGAGTTATAGCTGCTTAAAGCTTGTTGCAGTGAGTCACTTTTACCGTGTGGGGTTGTACAAAAGACTGCAGCGAGTTTATGCTGTGTAGTGCCTTTTGGTCATAGCTTTTCTTGGTGGTGACATTGTCGTGCAGTGCAAGAAACTGCTTGTGTAATCGTTGCGGGGTTGTGTAGTGCGATTATGTGGCATTTTGGTTTCTTTGCTATTGTAGCGCACTTTGAATGACCATCATGTAGCTGCCATCTTCATTGTGCAGTGCAAGAAACTGCTTGCGTAATCACTACAGGGTTGTGTAGTGCGATTACGTGGCGATTTGGTTTTCTTTACTACTGTAGAGTGCTTTGAATGACCGTCTTGTAACTGTTCTCTTTGCTGTGTTTGATCAAGCTTCGTGGCTGATTTCTTTTTGTTGTTGTGACTTTGTCATTGTCATTCTTTAACATTCACGAGGTTTGTCTCGCATGTCTTTTTCTTTAGTGAAACGATTTTTTTTTTCTTTACCTCCCCACTTTTGTGCTTAGGTTGCTTTGCTTATTTTGTTGCAGCCATGGTATTTTTCAAGTGCTTTAAGAATAATACCATTACTATTCTCACAAAGGAAGGTTATTCGCAAGATAAGGGGACAAGGTTGAAGCTTTGCGCTCCATTGACTGGCCCTAAGGCGCTTGTTCTTCTTGCAAAAGACAACTCGATCCACATCAAGTCATGGTCTTCTGAAGTGTCTTGGGAGGTGACAGATTTCAGTCAATCAACTACGAAGAAGAAGGCGTGTACATTGAAGATTCTTATCTTAAATCCTTTGCACCATGCTCGTGACAGTTCACTGGTTTCATTTGAGCTTCTTGGCAATTGCATCCGTAGCGGAGCTGTGACTTGAAATAGTACTTTGCCAACTACTGAAGAAGCCGTGTTTGTTTTTGCTCATTTTGTAATATGACTTTGTAGCCGAATTCTTCTTGCAAAGAAATAAAGTATTCACATTCTTGAATTTGCTCTTTATTCTTCAAAGTGTTTGTGTTTTTGTTGATGATGTGATGTACTTGAAGTTTTTTTAAGTTTCAAGTTGCCTACGTACCCTCGGTTGAGGAGGGATCAAGTCATGATGTAGTTCAAGGGAGTGATAGGTTTTGGCGATTTTGATGGTGATTTTTTATTTTTGTTTTGTTTTGCCGTACACAGTTTATGCTCTTGCGGGCCAAGAGCGTTGAGTGTCACATTTTAAGCTCATTCAAATAAGGAGCATTGTGCCGTGTGCAGTTTAGGCTCGTACAGGCAATGAGCATTGCTTGTTTTGTTTTAAGCGTAGTAACGTTTCAAGAATCAATCGTTGATGAGTTCGATCTATAAGTCGTCATTTGCCATAATTAGGTAGGCACCATTGGTGTAGACCTCTTGTATTACGTAAGGTCCATCCTACTTTGATGTGAACTTGCTTTTTGTTTTGTGAGTTGTGATGATAGGGCTTCGTAATGCCAAGACAAAATCTCCAGTTTCGAAAGACGTTGGGTGAACCTTCTTGTTGAATGCCTTGGATAGCCGTGCTTGGTAGC